ACACTCTTTTTTGCTTAGTTTTGTTTTTTGGTGCTGGGCATCAAACTTGGGACCTTGCGCTTGCAAGGCAGGTGCTGGAACCACTGAGCTACATCCCCGGCCCTTTTGACACTTCTGTACACCCTCACTCAGAATCAGGCTTTAGCAACACTTTAGGAAACACTCTTGTCCATATTAAGTCTGGAATGAACTGTTGGGGTGATAGGTACTAGGGATCGAACTCAGGACCTTGTGCTTGTGGGGCAGGTGCGGTGCCACTGAGCTAAATTCCCAGCCTGCCTGCCTGCCTGTCTTGTCTGTCTGTCTGTCTGTCTGTCTGTCTGTCTGTCTCTCTCTCTCTCTCTCTCTGTCTCTCTCGCTGGGGATTAAGCCTAGGGCCTTCCACATGCCTAGCCCTCTTTATTCTTTTTTTTTTGGTACCGGGGATTAGCCTTCTTTATTTTTCTCATTATGTTAAATTTTAAGGCAGGTTCTCGCGAAGTCACGAGGCCAGGTGTGCCACCATCCCCATGTCTATTCGTACGTAATTGCCCTGGAGAGAGTGGCTTGCTGCAGTGTCGCTGGTTGGCACTTATTTGAGTCCCAGTTACTTTCAGATGGTGTGATTATGTCTCTCCTAAGAAATGCTTTTATTGAACAGCTTTAACCCTCCTGGCCCTTGTGCCCCTTGGCACTGCACACACTGCTGCTAAGCCGAGCCTCACAGCACTGTGCTTCGGTAGCCAGTTGTGGAAATGCCGGCCTCTGAAGGCCTGTATGGCCTGGGCTGTGCCGCAGAGGCCGGTGGTGGGTCTCTGGGAGGCTGCAGAGGGCATCACTCGGCCAGTGTGGAGCCACGGAGGCTTTGAGGTGCTCTGCCTCAGGGGAGAGCTGGCCCCAGCTTGCGCCTCAGGCGCTCACACCGGGGTCCGGTGTGCTGGGCATTTCTGGTCGCTGTGTCCAGGGCTCCTGGACTCGTGTCATCTTAGAGCACTGGTGTGAAACACACCCTCTGCCCACCCACCGCCCGCCCCTCCCGAGCTGCTCTCCGGGGTGGATAGGAGGACCCGTGGATGCAGAGGGCAGAGAGCCTTTTACACCCTTTCTCTGCTGTTACCTTAGACCCTGGCTTCTGCATTCTGGCTTCTGGCCTTGGTGGGAGAGGAAGGAACCCGTTTCCTTCAGCTCCTCTCTGAAAATAACCAGGCTGGCTCTGCCCATGAACAAGGAGTTCCAGAACCTGTTGGCACCTCCCCGTGTTGATGTCTGGTCATCTCTGCCCATTTGCCTTCCCCTTTGCCAGGGCCTCTGGAGGGAGCCCGGAGATCTGCAGGCTTCTGCAGGGCCAGCTGCTCACGGTCCTGGCAGTGCCCTGTGGGGTGAGCCCTGCAGGGCGCAGTGTTGTGTGAGAAAGGAGAAGCGGCTGCCTGTGCCCCAGCTCTGGAGTGCTGGCTGCGGCCCCCCAAACCCTGGATGTTTACTCCAGCATAGACAGCCTGGCGGGGCAGCCCAGGCGGGTGGGACGGGAAGGGGTCCAGAGGGAGGAGAGGACTGGTGTGAGCTGTCAGAGCTGCTGCCTGCGGAGCCAGTGCGGGGCCGGGCGGGCGAGCTAGGCCGGCCCTGCGTACGTACAGGTGGTCGGGGCCACCCGGCGCTGGGTGATGGTGTCGCGGTGGCCACAGCAGGCGGAAGGGAGTGGGGCCTAGAGGGGCGTGGAGATCCGGGCTGGACACAGCAGAGCCTGTCCTGAAGGCTGCTCCGGGCGAAGCCTTTGAGCGCAGGGGCGAGGGACCGCAGGAGTAGACAGTTTCGCGCTGAGAAGTTGGACTTTGCAGCCAGGAGCCGGGGTGCACACCTGTGAGACTTCAGCACCCAGGAGGCCGAGGCTGGAGGATGGTGATTTGAGCCCAGCCTAGGTAGCATAGGGAAGAAACAAAACCCTGGGGCTTCTCCAGGTCGGAGGCTGCCGACCGAGACCGCGCCTCCTGCGACGCCCTCCTTGCGGACGGGCCCGGCAGAGGTGGGGCGTAGAGGGCGGGGCCAGCTCGGCTCCCTTCCGCTTCCAGCCCGGCGGGCAGCACAGTCCGGCGGCAGCTAGCTCCGTGTCCGTGTGGGTCTCCGTCTCCGCGTCCGAGCACTCCGCGTGTCTCCGCCCGCAGGCACCATGAGCCGCGACACCGAGGTGGACATGAAGGAGGTGGAGCTGAGCGAGCTGGAGCCCGAGAAGCAGCCGATGGCGGCGGCTGCCGAGAAGAACGGGCTGGTGAAGGCCAAGGCGCTGGCGGGCGGCCCGGAGCCGGAGGCGGCCGCCAAGTTCACGGGGCTGAGCAAGGAGGAGCTGCTGGCCGCGGCGGGTGGCCGCGGCTGGGCGCGCGCGCGCGCAGCGCTGCTGGTGCTCTTCTGGCTGGGCTGGCTCGGCATGCTGGCCGGCGCCGTGGCCATCATCGTGCGAGCGCCGCGCTGCCGCCCGCTGCCCGAGCAGCCCTGGTGGCACCGCGGCCCGCTCTACTACGTGGGTGACGCGCACGCCTTCCAGGGCGGCGCGGGCCACCTGGCGGGTGAGTGTGCCCTCCCGTCCCGGACCGACTGCCTGTCCTGACCCGGTGGGACCCGGAGGGCCCGTCGGCATACCCGGCCCTTCCCGTCCTTTCTGAGCTGAGCCGGGGCTGACGCCGCGCACGCCTTCCTTGCATCACCTCCCCGCAGCCTCGTGATCCCGCCCCGGGCTGGGTGGGGGTTGGGCGCTCGAAGCCTCCTGGCCAGCGTGTCCCCCACCCACAGATCTGCGGGAGCGCCTGGATTACTTGAGCGCCCTGAAGGTGAAGGGCCTAGTGCTTGGCCCCATTCACAAGAACCGGAAGGATGATTTGGCGGGGACCGACCTGCAGCTGATCGACTCCACTCTCGGTTCTCGGGAAGACTTTGACAGCCTCCTCCTGGCGGCCAAGAAAAAGAGTGGGTTTCTGGGCTTCCCCAGGCAGGGCCAGCGCGAAAAGGCTTGTCCTTTGGCCCGGGGAAAAGCAGGGTTGGGTTCTTGTCTGCGGTGCTGCTAATGGGCTCCGGGTTTTCCTGGGCAGAGATTTGTGAGACTTTGGCCTAAAAAGGATTTATCGAGTGGCTGGGGGCTTTCTGCCTGGCCGGGCAGTCTTGAACTGGTCACTTAACTTCTGGGCTTCAGTGCCATTTATTTCCATAAGATAGGCTTTTACTACATCAGTGGACACCCCAACTCCTACGGGGGGTTTTAAACTGAAAAAACTATGGGTCCTGGGCCGGGGATTTAGCTCAGTGGTTTCGCTGCCTGCTGCGCAAGCGCAAGGACCCGAGTTCAATCCCTGGTACCACAAAAAAACAAAAAACAAAAAAAACTATGGGTCCTTTTGGGCACGGGGGAAGCCCGAATATTATCTCACTGCTCAATACAGAAACATGTTCAAAGAGTTCACTGGGGGGTGGGGAGCCAGGGGCCCCATAGCTCCACCTCCTTTGCTGCCCTGCAGTCCTGCCTTCAGCTTTGGCCGGGCCCAGATCCAGGCTTTCAAACCCGGTGGTAGGTAGGTTGAAAACACTTGTCGAGCTTCTGTTTGAGCGCCTCACTTCCCTTCACGCCCCCTGTTCAGGCATTCATGTCGTCCTGGACCTCACCCCCAACTACCAGGGCCAGAACTCCTGGTTTCTCCCCACGCAGGTGAATGACACGGCCGCCAAGGTGAAGGTGAGTGTTCCAGGCCCTCAGTGCCACTCTCCAGGGTCCTTTCATGGGAGCTCTGCACCCCTGGCCTGGCTCCCGCAGGCAGGAGCAGGAACCCCTCTTCCTGCACCCGGAAGGATAGGCCTGCAGTACACCCCTGTGTTTGTTTCTTTTCTGATCTCCCATTTTTCTTGTTTCCTTGACTTTGGGGGTGACATGGCGCCAGGAAGGGAATTTGTCAGATGTCCATCTGCAAGTCTGATTTTCCTTCTTTTCAGGATAGGAAGTCCTTTCTTTCTCTGTGGGATTGTCTTGCTTGACTTCTCAGTCCTTTTTTGATGTGTTTGGAGGAAAGCCCAGTCTAACTTTTTTTTTTTTTTTTTTGAGATAGGGTCTTGCTATGTAGTTCAGGCTGGCCTTGAATTCACTATGTAGTCCAGGCTGGCCTCAAACTCGAAGAGATCCTCCTGCCTCAGCCTCCTGAGTGTGGATTACAGGGATGTGCCAACATGCGCGGCTTGCCCAGTCTGAAATTATAAGCCCTGGAGTCTTCCTCGGTGACTGGGACCATGCCAGATGTTTCCCAGTTCCCTATAGTCGCACAAAGTACCTATTATTGTCCCTAATTTGTAAATGAGGAAGCAGGCACAGAGGAGCTTTGAGTGCCCCAGATGTGAAGTCCAAGTAAGTAGTCTGTCGTTCCATGTTGACCTTCTAGGTAGTGGCTCCAACTGAGCTCGGCAGGCTGGGGCAGGGCTTTCACTGTCATGCAGCTCCTGCTACCTGGCAGCTCAGAATGGGAAACCTAGATGGTTCACAAAGTTGCGATTCTGGGAGAATTCCGATTTCGAAGCATTTGGGTGAGACCCCAGGATCACTGAGTCTGTTCTTGGCCAGTTGGTGGGAGACTTTGAAAAGTTGGTGGTAAAGGACAGTTTTCGGATTTGTGGGGCATGACGGGTGGTAGCCTCTGGAGATGGAGCCCAAAGGAGGGAGGATGTGGAGAGAGGAGGGGAAGAAGGGGTAGGCAGGGTGGGGCCCAAGCCCCCTGCTAGATGCCTGCTGGCCAGGCCAGGCCAGTTCCCAGAGCTGCTCAGGGCTGTGCTTTGAATCCCGGTCTTTCATTCTTGGGCTTGTGCCTCCCAGCCCTCGGGAGACTGGAGGGAGTGAGACCACTTACTTTGAGGGCCACCTGGCACTCTAGGTCCAGTCACTGCTGCTCCCTTGCTTTGACCATGTCTCCTTGCTTCTTGAGCCTGTTTCTTTATCTCCAAGAAGAGGATTCTGGCCAGGCATGGTGGCACATGCCCATGATTGGGAAGCTGAAGCAGAAGGATCGTTGCAAGTTCAAGGTCAGCCTGGGCTACACAGTGAGATCTTGTGTCCAAAAACCAAAAAACAAAGTAGAAGATACTGGCCCTCCTTGTGCTGAGTGTTAAGTGGATTTTTATTTTGATACACATTTTCTCCTGGGCGTTTTCTATAGCTGTTAGAGGTGAAGCTGTATTTGCCAGAGGCAGGAATAAAAAAATCAAGTGCTGGAACAGTAAGAAATTCTGTGGGGATCAGAGACAGAGGGAGCCAGGGCGTGCGGGCTGGGATCTTCTGAGTCTTCACCTGTGTGTTGCTCTCTCCTGTGTTCTTTTCCACTTTGTAGGAAGCTCTGAGCTTTTGGCTGGAGGGTGGAGTGGATGGGTTCCAGGTACGGGACGTGGAGAAACTGAAGGTGAGTGTCTCTCCCCATGCCACCCAACGCTAGGCGGGGGCAGTGTCTGCCCTTGATGGGTAGCAGCCCCGTGTCTTGACTCCGCCTTCTCTCTCTAGGATGCACCCTCCTTCCTGGCTGAGTGGGAGAACATCACCAAGAGCTCCAGCAAAGACAGGTGGGTACCTGGTGCCCAGACCCCTCTCTTCTGGGGCCTCGGGGGCATCCTGTCCCAGGCCAGCCTGACACCTGCCCTGCCTCCGCAGGCTCTTCATTGCAGGCACCAACTCCTCCAACATGCAGCAGCTCCTGAGCCTTCTTGAGTCCACGCAGGATGTGCTGCTGACCAGCTCCTACCTGTCGAGTCCCAGTCCCACGGGGGAACACATGAAATTCCTGGTCAACCAGTATCTAAACATCAGTGCTGGCCGCTGGTGCAGCTGGAGCGTGAGTGCTCGGACTGGCAGGGCCTTGGGAGTGGGGGAGGGCAGGCTTAAGCTCACAGAGTCTGTGTGCCTTGCAGGTGTCGCAGGCTGGGCTCCTGACATCCTTCGTGCCCTCTCAGCTCCTCCGGCTCTACCAGCTGCTACTCTTCACCCTGCCGGGCACCCCTGTGTTCAGCTATGGAGATGAGCTTGGCCTTCAGGCTGCCAGTCTTCCTGGACAGGTGCGGCTCACTGCCCCACAATGGGGAGAATGCAGTTGCCTGTTGGGTCACGATGGCATGGCCCTGGGGCTAGTGGCTCAGACCCTGCCTTGGGCCGAGACTAGGTTCTGTTCCTAGTCAGTGGTCGTGTGGCTTTGGATGAGTCATTTCACCCTTGGTCATCTCTTCTGTGGTATTGGATTTCTTGTAGAATTATTAGGGGTCTTCCTGTGTTGCCCAGGCTGGCTCTGAACTCCTGGGATCAACTGATTGTCTGGCCTCAGTTTCCTGAGTAGCTGGGACTGTAGGTGTTGCCACCATGCCTAGCCCCGTTTTTTAATGTCAGTGCCTGGTGCGGTAAATGTTGAAGACGTAGCCATCGTTCATTCGTTCATTCATTCATTCATTCATTGGGCTGTGGCTGCTCTGTGTTAGGCCCTGAGTCCTCTGGGGAGCCAGGGGAGTGTGGGCAGGGAGTGGCACGGGAGGGGCCCTGCTGTGGAGGCGCCTGGGGTTAGCGACGGCGTGGAGTCATGCACGTGTGCTGCACACAGTGGATACATTGCATGGTGGTGATGAGTTTGATAAGCAGGTGCAGTAAGGATGCCAGGAGCTGATAAACTGTGTGCCAAAGGAGATGGGGTGAGGAGAGGGTTTGTGGCGGGGGTGCACTCTCCGGGTAGCCACGAACCCAAGGAGCAGCCCAAGGACTTTGGAAGTAGCTCTTGAGGTAGAGGAGGCCAAGGGGACAGGGTGTGCGGAGAAGCCTGGGGCTGGGCCCCTTGGCTTATGGGGAGGTGGGAGGTGGGAGGTGGCCCCGGGGGAGGCAGGAGGGAGCCTTTGCAAGCCCTGTCTTTTGCTCCCAGCCTGCCCAAGCCCCCGTCATGCCGTGGGACACATCCAGCCTTCCCGACGCCTCTGGGTCCGTGGGCGCCAACATGACAGTGAAGGTGAGGGCTCAGCTCAGAGGGCAGCGGGGCGGTGGAGTCTGCACCCCGAGGCCTCACCCTTCTGTGTTTCCTTCACCACAGAGCCAGAGTGAGGACCCGGCCTCCCTCCTTTCTCTGTTCCGGAGACTCAGCGACCAGCGGGGCAAGGAGCGCTCTCTGCTGCACGGTGACTTCCATGCACTCTCCGCCCCACCCGGCCTCTTCTCCTATGTGCGCCACTGGGACCAGAACGAGCGATTCCTGGTGGTGCTCAACTTTGGGGACCTGAGGCAGTCGGCCACGCTCGGGGCCTCAGGCCTGCCAGCCACTGCCAGCCTGCCGCCCCAGGCCAACCTGCTGCTCAGTACCCATCCGGGCCGCAAGGAGGGTGCCAGCCTGGAGCTGGGAGCCCTGAGCCTGGAGGCCCACGAGGGGCTGCTGCTGCACTTTCCCTATGAGCCCTGACCCCACCTGCCCCGCCCCAGCCTGGGCCTTTGAGATCCTGTTTCTCTCCCTTTTTCAATATTTGCAGACTACAGATGAAACCCCTTCAAATAAAAAGTCACCCTACCTGGTGAGGTCTTGTCAGCCCTCTGTCACAGCAGGAATTCTGCTCCCCTCCTGGACAAGTGGTCTCAGCTCCAGAGTCCAGAGGGGCCCTTCGAGGGCAACAGCAAGGGGTCAGGTTGGACTGTGTCTACCTCCCCCAGGCTGTCTAGGGTGTTCTGGGGCCTGCATTCTTGTGCTTCTCATCTTTGACAATCTGGCTGAGCTTGTGAAGTTGGTGTGTCTCTGCAGGCCTGTCTTTCAGGGAGAAAGGTGGGGGCGGGATGGCCTGGTTTCCTGAGGGAACTTGGGAAGGATGCCAGAGGCCATTCATGCCACAGGAATGCACTGAGCAGTCCACACACGCAGAGCGAAGCCCAGATGTCCGCCTGCTGCAGTGTGTCCAGGAACACTAGGCCTGAACCTGATCCCTAGCACTACAGAACAAAGAAAGCCAGGAAAAGTCCCTGTCTCTCTCTCTTTTTTTTTTTTGGTACCAGGGATCAAACTCGGGACCTTGCACTTTCAAGGCAGGCAGCACCACTGCTAAATCCCCAGAGCCCCGTCCCTTGAGACTGCTCATCTTGTGGAGAAATGGAAAAGAAATAAGAGGAATACAGTTTATAATAGGGACTCGGTGCTCATGTGCCTGGAGGAAGAGAAGGCAGGGAGGTTCAGGGGAGGGGCTCCCGGTGACCTGAGTGAGACCCAGGGAGAGGCCAGGGGTGACAGGCCTGGCAGATCCCAAAGGGCAGTGAGTGCTTCCAGACGCTGACTGGTCCCTGTGAGTACCCTCAGACAGCTGGGGCTCAAGGGACTCAGTCTGGGAGGGATCTGAGGTGCTCCATGTGCCTCTAGGGCCATGAAGCGTAGTACGCTGGGATCACCTGATCTTCAGTGACCTTTAGTCGCCAGCCCCTCCCAGGACCCAGCTGGTACTTCAGTCTCCACTCCCCCAAAGCTCACCATAAATCATTACCTGGTGGCAAGTCCTCAGGCAGACACCAGGACAATGGCTGGGTCAGCCGCCAAGCTGCTGGCGCATGTGTGCTCCCTGAGTTGCCTCCCCAGGGTCTCCCCACCACACTCTTCCTTGGCCCGAAACCTCTGTCCTCTTTTATGAGTCTGGCTATAGTCGTCCCTCCTTGCCTGTGTCACTCTGTGGTTTTAGTTGCCTGTGGTCAGTTGTGGTCCAGGAAATTGGTGGTCCCCTAAATGAGAAATTTCAGAAATGAGCAATTCTCAGTCGTGCTGTTCTGAGGGGTCTGAGGAAATCTCAGGGAGCCTGGAGGTTGGCCAGGCCCCATGTGATAGAAGTGGGGGGACTGAGACCCAGGCAGAGGTCACAAGGAGGCCGCAAGAGCCCAGTGGGCTGCAGAGGCGGGGCGGTGGCTGCGGTGTCCAGAGTGGAGCTGCTCCAGCCCATGAACTAGCAGAGCAGGTGGCTGGGGTGCAGGCCGGGCTGTGGGCAGGGTGGAAGCTGTGCTGCCCAGGACCAGGAACCCTGGCTGGGGCCACACAGAAGGAGGAACAGGAGCAAAAGGCCAAGGTGGGGACAGCAAGGCAGGGTGACAGCAGCAATGCTGTCAGAAGGCAGCATTGAGCCTGTGGAGAGGAGGGTCCCTGGAGCCTGCGGGGCTTCTCCAGGGTGCTTCCGTGTGCGTGTGTGTGTGTGTGTGTGTGTGTGCGCGCGCGCGCGCGCACATGCGTGTAACGGGATTGAACCCAGGGCCTTCACACTGAGTTACATCCCCAGATCTTTTTTATTTTTCATATTTTTTTTCTCCCCTGGTACTGGGGATCGAACTCAGGACCTTATGCTTTCCAGGCAGGTGTGGCACCACTAAGTCCCCACCCCTATTTTTCATTTTTGGTGTAGCAGCACTGGTAATTGCTTTTTTTTTTCTCCGTAGCAGGGATCGAACTCAGGACCTTGTGCTTGTGAGGCAGGCGTGGTGCCACTGAGCTACATCCCCGGCCCCCTATTTTTCTTTTTCTTTTGGTGCCAGGGGTTGAACTCAGGACCTTTCACTTGCATGGCAGGTGGCGGAACCACTGAGCTAAATCCCCAGCCTGCCTATTTTTCGTTTTTTTTTTTTAATATGAAACGCTTCATGAATTTGTGTGTCAATCCTTGTGCAGGGGCCATGCTAATCCTCTCTGTATCGTTCCAATTTTAGTATATGTGCTGCCGAAGCGAGCACTGTTTTTCATTTTGAGACAGGGTCTCACTAAGACATCCTGGCTGGTTTTAAGCTTGTGATCCTTCTGGCTCAGCTTCCCAGAGTGCTGGGATAGCAGGTGTGCACCATAGTGCCTGGTGGATTTTTATGATTTTAAGGGGTTCTGTCTGTCTTTAGATCGTCTCAGGTGGACCACTTGGTTTTCTTAAGCACCAAAAGAATTCACGGGACTGGGTGTGGTTGTACCCAGCTGTAGTTGCAGCTACTTGGAAGGCTGAGGCAGGAGGAACAGCAGTTTGAGCCTAGCCTGCGCAACTTATGGAGAGCCTGTCTCAAAATGAAATCATAAAGAGACCTGGGAGTGGAGCTCAGGCCCCTGGGTTTAGTCCTGAGCACGGGGCCCCAGGCGCTTAGACAGCCATCAGGCACAACTGAGAGGAAGCAGGACCAGGCTTGAAAAGTGAGCCGGAAGCAGGCACCAAGAAGCAGGAAGCAGCATTGTCTTTTAGTGGGTGTGTGTGGCTGGGCACAGAGGCCCTGGCTGCCAGGGTGGGGTGGAACTCAGGATGCGTCTGCTCCCAGTGCCTGTGTGTCCTGGTCCTGAGGACTCAGGAGTCACCTCCTCCTTGCTGAGTCACTCACCCCAGCCACTGTCCCTGCCCTGGTCCACAGGGTGGTGGTGGTGGTTTTAACGTAGCCAGCGAGGCTCTAGGAAGGGGATAGTCAGGGAGGACTGTGAAGATTTCGGCTGAAGCAGCTGGGAGATTGGATTCACCATGTGTTGAGATGGGAGGCCAGGAAGGGTTAGGGCAGCTGTGTGTGGGCCACAGTGCAGTCGGCTGTGGACACTCAGTGGAACTGTGAGGACTTGGGACAGACTGCCCCAGGCTGGAGTGCGGACATGGGCATCATGAAAGGACAGCAGACACAAGAGGACCAGGAGGAGGGCACCGAACGAGTGGGGGTGTGTGTGCATGGGAGTGGGCAGCCTGGCACGGCTGCTGTGGGCCGAGTCAGAGTTGGCCGTGGCCACGTGCCTGTCAGCATGCAGCCTGGGGCCCACTTGTGTCCAGAGCAGCGTGGCTGGGTGGCACTGGGTGGCCTGCGGGAGAGAAGCAGAGTTGCTGACCACGCCCTGGGAGGCAGCACTGGAAGAAGAGAGACAGAAAGTGCTTGGGTGTTCTTGTTTTTTTGGTACTGGGGATCGAACTCGGGACCTTTCGCTTTCGAGGCAGGTGGCGGAACCACTGAGTTAAATCCCCGGCCCAAGTGTTTGTTTTTAATAAGAGCAGTTGCAGCCTGCTTCCTCCAGCAGAAAGGACCAAGTCGAAGACAGAGTGAGGAGGCTGAGTGACAGAGCCCGGGGGCCAAGGGGCCCGGCCTTGGCATGTGAGTGTTGAGGGGTGTGAGGGGGTTCGGGAGCTCCCTGCACAGGTGATTTTTTTTTTTGGTACTGGGGATTGAACTCAGGTCCTTCCGCTTGCAAGGCAGGCGGCGAAACCACTGAGCTAAATTCCCGGCCCAACCCGTGATGTTTTTAATGGAACGTTAGCTCCCCTGCTCTGGAGGCTGGCAGTCCCCGGAGGCCCGGCGCTCGGCTTCTGCTGAGTCTCCCTGGCTTATGGCTGCGCTCTGGCCCTCTGGTCTCTGTGTGGTCTCCAGGCTGCGGCCTCTGTGGAGCTCCCCGTGGACAGCGACTCAGTCTTGACCAAGCAGTAGTAGCCCTGTGTCATGGGCGGTGCGGTTGGGCACACATGTACAGCACTGCTTTCTCTGTGAGGAGGAAGTGAGGCTGAGGGAGGACGGGTGCCTTCCACATGGGGGAGTCTGAACAGGAGGGGGAAGTGAGTACACCTGGCTCCCACCCCAAGTCCACCCAGGGACACCCACAGAAGCACAGGCTGCAAGTGCAGACTCTCTTTTCAGTACGGGAGACATCCTCAGCCCTTTTTGCTTTTTATATTATGAGACAGGGTCTTGCTAAGTTCTAAATTGCCGAGTCTGGGTTTGACCTGGGATCCTCCTGCTTCAGCCTCCCAATGTGCTGGGATGGTGTACACTCCAATGCCTGACCCAGAATCGGCTTTTTTTCCTTTTTAAGTCAGTGTCTTGCTATGTTGTTCAGGCTGTCCTGGAGCTCACGGCGATCCTCCAGCCTCAGCCTTCTGGGAGCTGGGTTACAGGTGGGCCCCAGCACACCCACCTCGCTCCTTCGTCCCTTCCACTTGCCCTGCCTCGTCCACACTGCCCGCCCCATGCACTTCTCTTCTCTCCCCTTCCTTCCCTCTCTCTCTTTGTGCTGGGGATTGAATGCAGGCTGCTCTACCACTGACCTACATCCCCAGGACTCTTTTTTTAAATTATTATTTTAAAAGTATTTTTACACCCCCCCCCCCATACCAGGGCTCTAACTCAGGACCTTGTGCTTGCCAGGCAGGCGCAGCACCACTGAGCTACACCCCTGCCCGCCTTTTTATTTATTTATTTATTTGTACCAGGGATCGAACTCGGGACCTTGTGCCTGTGAGGCAGGTGCCGGAACCACTGAGCTAAATCCCTGGTCCCGCCTTTTTATTTTTTGAGTTGAGACAGGGGCTTGCTAATTTGCCCAGACTACCCTTGAACCCTAGATCCTCCCGTTCTGCCTCAGCCTCCTGAGTAGTTGGGATTACAGATGCAGAGGACATAATATTGATTATGCCCAAAGCAGGCTGTGTGGAGTGAACCCCATGACGGTCTTCTTTATAGAGGTGAGTCCGGCTGAAGCCTGCGTGCCGAGGTCAGGGTAACTCACACCCAAATTCTGTTCCCACAACTAAAACCTTCTGACTAGAAGGACAGTGTTC